AGTCTGAATAGGATTTCATATATCTCTGAATTCAGATTATATTAATAACAATTTAAGTCATCGACGAACGTCATTGAAATTATCAGTGCACGGTTCATTACTTTCGTTCGCATTTAATTATCCGTGAAACGAGGTCAACGTCGGGCTACTTACGTATTGACCGGGACAAACGTAACGCTTGGAGGGGTGATCGCAAGAGGGGCGATTAACTAAGCTTCATACTTAATACGACACTTATCCACAATGTGGTTGACCCATAATTTGCACTAGCGACCAGCGTGCAAGACACGGCTTAATCAACTACAATCAGGAGGGCTATCCGCGAAAGGAAGACGTAACGACCGCGTGGGTGTTACGACTCGGACACTGAAGCACTCTCTTCAAAATCTCCACAACTGATCAACGAATTCAACAAAATGTTCCAGAATTAGAATTTTCAAACTGGTGTCTTCTATGAACAAGAAAAGCAAGGTTGCTCAAAAATATAAGCAGATTTTTTTGGATGTAATAAAACAATGTAAAAGAAGTAATTAATATATCTGTGCAACATCTCATTAAGGCAATATAAGAATACATAAAACTGAAGAAAATACCTGTATCACTTCTTTTATATTGTTTTATTATATCCAAAGATTTATTAATCTAAGGGCAATAAGATATTTAATAAACAAATAATACATAATAAAAAAATAATTTTAACATTATTTCAGTAATTTTAACATCATTTCGAAAAGTTATTCTTTTTCTTTGGACATTATATAAGCGACATTCCACAACGAAGAACACACTGATTAAATCAATCTGATAATACTGGTATTAATGTACGTAACAATGATTCTGACCATCTATCTCAAATGACCAGGGCTCACGTACTTTTGAGCGGCAGTGTAGGCTTACCGAAGAGCTTCTAAAGAGTGTTGCGGGTATTCATAACGTGCGTGCATCGACAACGAACACGATACTGGATTATGTCGCGTTACAGACATATTGAACGCGATACGTACCATATGTACGTCGCGAAAACCGGATACGTGCGGGCGCGTGTAACGTGTCTTCTTCGTGCTCGCTGTTTACGTTCCTCGCACGTTGTCGATCGTACAAAAAATGCCAGACGCACACGTGCTCTTTTATTCCCTCGACAGATGCCCGGAATTTTAAGCTAATTTCCCGTGTCCCCATCGTTCAATTTGTCATAACTCTACCTTTTATTTTCGTATTTTTCTTTTTAGAAGATTTATTTATAATCTAAGTGGCGACGACAGTTCTTGACAAACATAATCTATAACGTTGTAACTATACTTAGAATCTCGAGTATTTGCAAAATTACTTTTTTTAAGTATCGAACACGAAGCGGGAAAAAGAGGTAATTTATTATTTCAGATGGTATTCTCGAAACGATGGAACTCGGCCAACAGGCAAACGATAACGAAAGTGCTCATGTACGTTTGAACACGTGGTGGAAAGAATCCATAATTCTTGCGCAAACGTATGGAAGAATACTTACTCAGAATACTGCGCAATTTTTCAGAACGAAATCGAATCGAATTGAATCGCGTTCACCGAACAAACTTTCGGACACGCCAATTTCGTCCGAACTCGCCGAATCGTATTTCCCCGACGACGAAAACGCTTTGTCATACCCTAAGTTCGGATTTCAGTATCGCGATTTCAATCCCATTCTTCGGTCGCGTTTCGTTTTCGCTCGTCGCGCAAACTTCAATTGATTCGATCTTCCTCAATTGTTTTATAATCAGAATGAATATTTCTTATCATTGCAATTTTGATATCTCGAATATTTTAGTACCTTGCGCATTATATTTTCATAATCAATTTTGTTATACATCGATAATCTCTGCAGTCTGAAAATTAATAATCGAATCATTGGTTTAATGAATAAACAGTTGTTATGAATTATTCAGTACGAATAGGAATAATCGAAGCAAGGGGATTATCTGGGGCAAGAAGTTGGCTCGACGCGTTCGAATGCAGCGCATGAATTTAGCCGTGCGTATTGCCACGGGATCCAGATGTTCCCTATTTTTACTTGAAACGGGATGCAAATAGTGCAGCTGAAAGGGAACGAATCCGAGAACGTTGAACTGTGAGCGTCGCGTCGCGCCGCTAGTATTGTGACGGGAGATATGATTCACGAGATTAAAGTTTATCTGCCGGCCGCGGCTATCGTTGCGTAAACGTGAAGAGTGCACGCGAGCAGGTGAATCGGTAACAGCGTGGAAAAGTCGATAAGCATTCGCATTTGAAAAGCTATTTAAAATACACGACGGTATCTATTGAAATAGCAAGTCTGACCAATTTTCCTATTTCCTGATTTCAGCACGCGATAATTTGGTTTTCAATTAGGTCATCGTTTTCAATTGTATTACAACAAGTTTTATGAATACGTAGAAACGGTAAATAATTACTACTTCCGGTTAAATCTTTCGAACAAAACGTTATTTGCATTTTTCGTGAAGTGCGGCTGATAACAGAGAAGAGAAGCGGCACGTAAGCAGTAAAACGTACAAACAGACCAGATAGAAGGTGCATAAGCGTGTTCTATATGTACAGTTGCCGCCGAGGCGCTTAGCTGATTTATATCTCTTCTTTGATAAGTTGATAGATAAATACGAGATAACAGATACCGTTCCATACAAGCAGTGCAACTTGAATACATTTTTTCACTGAATTATCAAACTGATACGATAATTGTATTGAATATAATCGATTAGCTATAATAACTTTGTTTCTTTCAAAATAAATAAGAACATTGTGTAAAGGATTGTAGTACTATAGAACGTAAGTTAAAGTTAAAAAGATAGACAGTATATAAATGAGTAAAATGATAAACGACTTCCATTCAATCATCCATTTATATTTTTACTTATGTATTTATTTCCTGTTTATTTAGTCATAGGCTTAATAACTGGATAATGAATTATGTAGTAAAGCCTTTATTGCTTTCCCTTTCGACGTTACAATGGCAAACTTCTGTAATATTAAAAAGAACTAGTTCCGTGCATCAACAAAAAACAAACATGAACATATAATTATTAAGTTCCGTACTTGATCACCTTTTTGTCTCCTTATCTTTATCTATACGTAGATCTTTTGGAAGAAGCCAATGTCCACTAGTTTCTTAATTTGAAAGTATTTATGTGTATGCATGTTTCTTTATACCTCGTTCTAAAAAATGTAATTAAAATGTAAAACAATATTAATATAGGATTGAGTTCTTCAACTGATCTTTGGGCATTGTAAAAAAATCTTAATCGAGCATTGAAAAAATTAGGCATGAATTTAATACTATTTTCGGGTCTTGTTCCCATCGGCGAAATGAAGACAATTGAAAACGGATCGACAATCATTGTCTCAGGCTGTAAATAGAATCTCGAGTTTAGCACGACAGTTCTGCTAGAGCTCGGACTGTTCTCTTTGCACACCATTTAAAAGTTCCATTGTCGCTTAATTGCCCGTACAGCCTTGAAACGAGCGGGCTGATCGAGCGAGGCAAGAGTGAATCGCATGGAAAGCGCAATCACGCTTTTCCGTGAGAGAATTCTGGCACGATAGCTTGGCAGTTCTTTGTGCCATGGTAAATTCGACTCGATTCACGCGAGTGCCCACTTCTCCGGCTGTCGATCGTACAACGACCGCGTTGTGTCGATTGTCGACACGAAAACCACTCGGGTAAGTATGCACGTACGTATCACGAGTGCCCTTTTTGTTTCGAGTTCCGAGAAGGGGTCGTCGAGCTGTAGAAAAAATAATGAAATCGATGGGGCAATCGTTTCACGAACGTGCGAATCTGTCGAGTGCCTCCCTCGCCATTTGCCGTCGTTCTGAACGACTGGAGAGAGTAATGGCATTTTAATGCGGCACTGAATAAAATCGAGCTGTCCGATGAATCACAACGGAGGCTTATTGTACGCGAAACTATGTATAGAGACTGCTAGTAACTAGAAACAGGTGAGCGGAAAGGAAAGGTACATGCGTAGATGCAAAACGTTCTTCAGCGGCTGCATACTTATCGCAGAAATTGCAATCATGGAAGTAATAATAACTACTACATAGAAAATAAGATAAATACGCGATAGTAAACAGGAAACGGGAGGCTGCGACATTTTCCATGGAACATCTATTGAACGTTGTTTGCGCAAATTACGACGTTATTGATGAAATCAGTTTTCTCGGGGACGAAACTCGAAACGATTCGAGTATTACGATTTGATAACCTCCCGATCTGTCGTCTCAGTAATTTGGGATATCGCACAAGAACTGGGGAACGCATTCATGTTACTTTCGTTGTTCTTGAGACTCTCGACTCTAGTTAAAATCTTACTGCGACGCAGAACTCTTCAAGTCAGCAGTGAACGGTCGCACTTATATCCTTATTGTAGCTAAATCCCTCGGATCATGTGGCGATTGCTTTCATAAAATCGGTTTTACCGTGGTTTATACACATACATGTATACATGACGTTCAAATAGAAAGTACACCGTGAAACGACTGTATCTCGTGTTTTACGATAGAATAGCATGCCAGAAAAGTTGAACGACTTTGAAAAATGTTCGACGCGATTGATTGAATAGGATCGAATTACACAAACAGGAAATAAGAGCGAACGTCGCAACCGATCGATGTCGGTTGCATTTTCAATGCATTCCAGGAATCGAAATTATTTCTTCTACGCTCATACAGCGAGAACGAAGACTGTGCTACATACGCAAATTTGGGGAACGTATAAAATTTTTTAAACATGCCGGAGGTCATTCGTTACGTGAACTTTGCTATTTATGTACCTTCGGCAAGAAAGAACCTTTTCTTTCCTCTCTCTCTCTCTTTCTCTCGATTGTTCTCATGTTGTCGGCAACTAATCCGCTCCCTCTTATTGTTCGAAGTTCCAACGTCTCTACATTTCGTTTTTTCGCAACGAGTCTTCGAGAGAACGGGGTAAAGGATCGGGAATAGAGGAGGCTAGACGCAACAAGTTGAAAACTTACCGAGATCCGTGTAGGCGACGCTCGAATCGAGATGCTCGAGCACGCAGAAGGCCAACAACAGGATGTACAGCCATCGTCGCGGAGTCCCGTCATAGCCACGGTTAAAGCACCACCGTTCACACGCCATATTTACCAAGCAGCAAGCTGGCCGAGTCTCCTGGCGCTACACGAATATTACAAATCCGAGCACTGTTCGCGTGTGTCTCGTCCGGCCGTCCGCAACCGCAACGGGAAGGACGAAAACGGGGTGGGGATGTGGAAAAACGACGAGACGGGAACACGAAAGGCTAAACTCGGATACGAGCGAAACGTTCCAGAAGTCTTAATCGAGGCACGTAAAAGTCTTTCGTTCACCACGATGCTCGCCGAATGTCACCGAATTTTTCGAGTCGCCACGACGGTCCAATCGCGGTTATCCCGATTCCAATTCAGTGTGTCGCGTTTGTTTTAGACGGATAGATACGAGCCGTGCGTAGAAGGCGGAATTCGCTTGATTCTCCTTCGACACTTATTCAAACCGGTACCGAACTGAGGACGACGTCTCGGCGATAGCTTGCGCCTTCAACAGCATGTCGACTCTCACTGACTCACTGCCACTCCGCTCGCTCCGGCAGCGGCACTCACTGGCATTGGCTCACCTTCTAGTCACACTCACACTCGAATTTGCTACCTCCGCCCAGGGATCTCAGAATTTATCCCGCATGGTTCGTTTCCCCTCTTTTTCGCCCATATTCCGATCCCCACTACTATTCTCCTCTTGCGCCATCGCTGACCATGCCTATAGCATATCCCCGTCGAGTACCAGTCTCCACTCCACCATGGTCGCGTCGTCCCCACTTTCCGGCCGAGGGATAAATTCTGAGATCCCTGCCTCCATCGCGCCGCTACGTTCTGCCACCGTTCTGCTTTCCTACCAGTTTACGTTGTGCTCTATTCAGATTTCAGATAATTTTAAATGACAATAGAACCGAGAGAATTTCAGGAAAAATCGGAACACCGCGTATTTCTAGTACGCAAGTTTATTGATCTTTCTAAAATCGAATTGGACTATAACAATGACATGAAAAACTGTTAAAGAAGGATGTAAGCAATATATTCTGATTTGTTCTAAGATATAATTGGTAGTGCTTTTAAATATAAAATTATTGATATAAATGCGTCTCGCAAAATCATGGAACTTCGTGTCGTAGATGGGAATCATCGTTTTCCATGTTGCCCTCGATAAAACAAAAATATCGTCGTCAATTTACTATTGAAACATTTTATTTGATTTTATTATCTCTTATCAATTTCTTAAGATTGACGTAGCGAGGATTTAAGGTATCTTTACTAGTAGGAGATAAAGTTGCATAAATAAATTTTAACATGTAAATATATCGGCAATAAAGACTTCTATTATCCCTAAAGATGATAACACATTGTTCTATCATAAAAATTTGAGACCTGCAGACGAACTTGACTAGTTGACGCGATTTGTTAGTAGTTCCACGTTCCACCGAGGAGAGATTCTTAACAATCTTAAAAAATAGCATCTGATCTGATCTTTATTTTTCATTTGCGAATATCTCATTAAATTTAATATTTGCTTTGGATACAATTTTTGATTCCTAGGAAGCAAATCGGGAACGATTTCTTAAGACAAAAATTGTTAAGAAATAATAATGTTGCGTGTCAATTATTTTTCACAAAACGTGCTACAGTTCTTTTTCATCAAATCTTTCTATGTGCGGAAGGCAAGTTTCAGTTACAGAACCTAAAGATAATTCACTGTGGATGCTAGAAGGAATGATGTTAGAATCGGCCGGGGAAATAGGGGCAACTATCCCTTTTAATTGACCAATGTGCGACTCTGATCTCAAATCGTTGGTCACTGTTTGGTGTTGGTTGAATATAGCCTGTGTAAGGGAGAAAATAGGTAAAATAGTTTCCGCAATTTCGTGTTTGTTCGTATATCGAACAAGATTTTTACCGTAAATGTCACGTTATCTGGGAACGTTCTGTGACAATGTGTGTCGCACGTATTGTGAGGGAAATTCAGGGAACTGTTTACTTGTTGCACTTGTTCATACTTTTTCCTTAACAAATACGATCGATCAGTCGTTCTATATATGTAATCTAATTCATCGAACGCGTCGAGTGCCAAGAGAAGTTTGGAATCGCGAATCCTTGCGTATTCATCCTTCTCGTTGATATCTTCCTCCAGTTTCACCGACTGAATTATTTTAGCTTCCTTCTCCTTCGTCAACGAGGCCCACAAATTGTAACGTTGTATCATCAGAAAAAGTGCTTGCCCATCCATACCAAGCGGAGTAATTCCGACTTGTTCGAAATATTTAGCCACTTCTACCCACATCTGACCCAATTTCAACGTAAAATATAAATGTATCATCGATATCGTAATCTGGAAATGTATTGGGATGGAAAAATGTTGAAATTAGTGATTCTACTTATTACGAGACTCACTCTGTCTTCTGTCGAGAGATTAGAATACAATATTTTATAACGTTCCTTTGCCATCTCATATCTTTCCCTATCCCTTTCGATTAACTTAAAAATGCTATATATTTTCGATCTGACCGAACCAACTATGTCTGTTAATGCCGGACTAATACCTGTATCTAATTTAACGTGATAAGTGTCCACCCATTGTTGCCTGCTCATTTGAAGCAATTCGGTATCTAAAACATCACAGATAATACTTTATGAAACTATCGTAACAATGAATTAAAGGTGATAAAAGTTATTATTTGCCTATGGCATTGCCGTCTACGTTTCTGAGCACTTTAATTCGTATCTCTTCTTCCCTCCATATCATCGCTAATAAAGACAATAATCTCCTCTCATTGATTCCTCTCCACGTAGATAAAAACGGGCTACAATGAAAATTGTCGCACATGTCCGTGAGAATACCGAGGTACAGGCAACGAGAATAATAGGGTATGATCTCGATTATGTCGAGGACGATGTACAATCCACCGTAGTGAACAAATTTTTTAAGACTTCTGGGACACCATATTATACACTCCCAAATGTATGCGCCGATGGCTATCAAAAGACTAAACGTTTTCATGTATTATTCTCATGTTCAGATTCGAGGAATCCTAATTTCTATAAATTACCGTTGATCTATTTGAAACTCTTCATTTTTCTTGTAAACGCATCGGAACAGTAGCTCCATGACAAATAGAACGCTGTACTCTGCATATATTTCATGATAAAACTCCTGTTTCCTCATAAGCCTTTCGGCTGATATTAATGTCAATGTTAAAATCCTTTGCAGCTTCATGGTAATTTTATCACAGTTCAAGACAGCTGTGATAAGCTCTATAGTAAGTTGCATACAGCAGTTGTATAATGAAAAGGACAATAAATCGTAATTATTCAGATAGACTAACTGATTAATAGCAATATGATCCCATACTCCCGGAAACATTCAAGCAAAGATGCGTTTTCGCTTAGCACGATTGTGCAAATAGCTTTCGTGCAAGTCATTACTATCTTCTCGTCGAATTTGTTGGTCAAACACCACTCTAACAACAAATACAATCTGGAAAACATTCAAATATAATTTATATAATTGATTTTATAAAAACCGGAAGCAGTGGGCCTATATTTTGTCTACCTAGTACAGCCATCATTTTCTATGAACTGTTGCGGCATTTTTGGAGCTAACACTGCCAGGGCGTTTATAGCGTATGTCCACAAGTCCCAAAATTGAGCCGCGTTCCAAGCGATTTCTGTATTTACGATGTTTGGGTTCACAATATCAAGTATAGCGTGCATCAGGTTTCTGTTTATCATTAGCTACCAAACGAGTATTAATATTTAGAACATCTTTTATTGTCTGATCGTGTCCATTATTTTAATAATTACAAAAATGCAAGCGTCCACTTCTGCCAGATGCGTGACGATCAGTAACAGAATTTTCTCAAATTGCAAATCGTTTATTGTTCTGCCGAATTTGATCGTTTCCGAAAACACTCTCGCTACACCGGTTTCAACACCGATTAAATACTCGATCACGGCTTCCGCTATGCCGCAACTAACAAGATTCCACTTAGGGAACGAGATTAGAATCATAAGAATAACTACGGCAATCTCATTTCTAATCTTCACGTAGAAATTTTTGTATTGGCTGTACCAAATGTACTTTTTAAACGCGTAATACAAGCCCCTGGAAAATACATGTTAACTTCAACTTAATAATTACTTTCAGGCTGTTATTACCATAAGACGCAGTGGTGAGGCGTTTCACTGTTCTTTAAATCAGCCGGTGTATCATTTGGGAAAACTATACATTTCAACAGACTCCACAGAGTGTTCACGATCAGAAAAACTTTATCGTCACTGTAGTCAGCACCAGATAATAGCAAGTCAGGTGGCCTTGTGCAACGTGATTGAGTCGCGTATGGAAGATCCATTCTGGTAAGTATCGTGGTAAGTGCCTCAGCTTCCAACATTCTGCGAGCTTCGTTTAAAGTTATTTAAGATGAAATGCGATAAGCCTATTACGTCTTCCAGTTATGCACATACGTACAACAAGTATCGGATATGGACGAAAGCAATAAAACCAGTTCTAGACGTTTTGGATACATCTCGGTATCGGAAGATTGCAGTAGTTTAACTACGGTCAATGGCAACATAGATTTCTCCATGGCTTTACGACATTGTTCAAGTTTCATTGCATCGACATTCCTTACTTGGGTTCTTAATAACAAAGAATGCAGTACTTCGTGAACTTTTAGAACCTGCTTCTGCGGCAGGATTATGAGAAGATTTCCTAACAATGTGAAATATTGTTCGACTGAATCGGAATTGGTAAAACCCTCCGAAGACTTTTCCAATACAGGTGGCAAACGACAAATCTCTAGCATTCTATCAAGATGCAGCTCGTATTCTTTAACGTTCTCGACGTTCTCCGCCAAGAATTTTAACACTTTTAGTACTAACGGTAGATCTTTGATTTTCTACATATTTTTAAGGATAATTTCGGGAGGGATAGCAAGGGAAAATTTTCTTTTTGTTCATGACGAAATAATTAAATTGTATCTATGAAAGGATACATAGCCATTATTTCCTACTTCGTGAAGGTAATCGTATAAGAGTCTGCTTATACGAATTACGCTATCACTCGTAACAGGATCAGATATAAGTACGTCTAATTTCTGTAAAATTTGATGCGTTTCTAATTTTAATTTTTCATCGAACTCAAAAAATTTATCGGGCAATTTGCTAGTTTTCGGACAAAGATAACTAATATATTTCGGGCAACTAAAATCTTTCCAAACATAATCGACTTCTGATTTATTTTGTATGACTGTTGTCGAAGATTTCTGAAATGTACTTCGCTCCGACTGCATTTTTATTCCTGCATACAAAATGTTCTTTTCAGCTAAACTTAATATTGATTTTTTTATACTTACTTGATACGTAAATTCGATCGAAATAAATTTTGAGTAAAAATCATTTACAGAGGACTAATTTACGTTTATTTTTATATAGAAAAGAAATTCTTACCTTATCTCGCTACATAGATCACAGCAATTCAAAAGAAATGAAAAGTATAACATGTAAATACTGTGTCACGTCAGGATATACAGATTAAAGAATAAAATATGGACAAACGTGAAAGTAAATGGAAATCGGGAAAGACACTCTTTACCACGATTTACTTTGTTTTAGTGACGGGCACTATCGACTAATTTAAAGTATCGACTACCTAGGGAATAATCGCAACGTACTATCGACTAATTAGTCGATACTTTTTAGTCGGATGAAATATCGCTCTCGCGGTTATGCCTCTATATTGTGATCATAGCATTCATATTTAAATAGCATTTTTATTTCGCTATCTTTGACCAAACATGATTTAAAGTAGCGATCACGCATTACATTATTCGATGAATCTACCAAGCCGGAAACCGAGAACATGGTCTGAAATCAATTACATCTGTTTCGTGTCTAATTTATTG